TTTTAAAAAAAAAAAAAAAAAAAAAAAAAAAAAATATGCCATTCTCTTATATGTCTTTTCTTATTTCAATTTTTTAAAAGAAACAATAATAATATTTTAGTTATTACCCTTATTTTTTAAATAAAAATAGGAAAAAGGAACAACAACATAAGCTTGAAATATTAAAATCCAAAACATAACTAAATAAAAGAAAAAATAAAATAATATTCCCATAAATGTAAAATGAATTACTTAGATTATATATATATTTTTTTTTTCTTCTTTTAATTATAAATGTTAACAATGATAAATTTTAGATACAATTTTTTGATTTATTTCAAAATTAGAAATTTCTAAGTTCTACAAAAAAAAAAAAAAAAAAATAAAGGTAAAAAAGAAAAGGGAAAATATTATACATAAAAATATTCCATGAAATTTTTAATATTTATTTTTTTTTTTTTAGATAATACTCCATTTGAAACTAGATAAATGTCTATAGGTATAAATAAAACTAAGATAAAACTTGTGCTTAAAGACAAAATAAAAGTTACTTCTATTAATAAAGTTGATTCATTAGCTTTCACAAAATATTTATAAAATATCCAACAAGATGCAAATATTAACTATAAAAAAAAAAAAAATGAAAATCATAAAAAAAAACTTTTTATATTGTTTCCTAAATACTAGTATTTATAATTGTTATTAATATTGTAGTTATATTAAGAACCATATATGTTACTTTTTTTTTTTTTTTTACTATATTGTTTAAAATAAATTTTTTCTATTATCAAAATTATAATTTATATATATATATATATATGCATAAATATGCTTATCAATTATTCCTATTTAAAATGTTAGTAATTTCAATTAACTAACCAAGATAAAAATAAAAAAAATAAACCAAATGATGATATCCATTAGAATTTTATATTCCTTCTATTATTTATATGTATTTTTTTTATCACATTAATTTTACTTGAATTTTTCTCTAAAATTAATTTTTATTATAAAGTCAACATTTTTAATAAAAAATATATTTGTCCATATATTTTTGCGAAGAAATTTAAAAATAAAATTGGAATTTTTTTTTTTTATTTATAAGGAATATTGACTATTTATTTTGAAAACTTATTTATGTTAAAATTGATATCTAGTGGCATAAATAATATAAATTATAACAAAAAAAAAAAAAAAAAAATAAAATTGGCCCCTCATAAGAAAAAATTATTCCATGATATTTAAAGTTGGAAAATTTAATTTCATAATATTACTTTTTTAAAATAAAAAAAAAAAAATTTTATATAAAATATATTATTAAATTAAAATTATTAAATGTTTTTAAGAATTTTATAAAAACAAAAGATTAATTTTATATATTTTAGCATATAAAATAAATAAAAAAAATTCAGGATATTGTATCTCACATGTATCATACAAAGAAAAAAAAAAAAAAAATGAAATAAATACAGTAAAATCAATTTAAATAAATAAATATATATATGTTAAAACTAAAACAAGAACAACAAAAAAAAATTTATTAAGAATGAAACAAAGAAAAAAGTATATATTCTTGTACATCTCAAATATAAATTTAAGAAAAAGTATTGTTTTCGCATACACACAGTTATTTTATATTAATAAAAATTTTTTGTTTTTTTAATAAGTTCATTACTTCAAAAATATTTATTTTTTATATGCTAAAAAAAATTTCAATAAATTTTCTTAAAAAAAAAAAAAAGAAAATATAATAATTTTAATTTATATTATTAATGCTTTGTGTATCTTCAAGTCTTTTGATAATTTTCTTTCAAATTTAAAAAATATACAAAAATTAATAGAAAAAGATAAAAATGTAATTATATATATATTTGTGTCCTAAAAAAAAGCTTTATCATAATAGTGCTTAATTTTAAATAAAATAAAAAAATATATTATATTAATAATCTATTTTGAAAGAAATTATTTTTGTAGAATAACCTTCGTAAATTGTAAAATCATCTCTAGTCATTTTATTTTCATTTTTTATATTTCTGTTATAATCATCATATGATATCTCATAATTTTTTAAGTCATTTTTATTTTTTAAGCTTTCAGGCTCTTTAAAATATAAATTTGTTCCAATGCTAGAAGTCTGAATACCTTTAAATTTATATTTATCATTTATTACACATTGAGGGTTTTCAGTGAATATATTTTTTAAAGTTATACTATTAACTTCAAATGGTATATTATCTATAATATTATTATCTAAACAGCTTTCACTTTTTTTAAGAGTGCATTTATCGTTATCCACTAATTCTTTATTAGTTTCATTAACCATATAAGAATCAGAATTTATAACATTTTCATTCATTTTATATTGAACCTCTCTATTATTACATTGTTTATTATTTTCTTGAATATCATAACTATTACAATTTACGTTATTGTCGTTTTTATTAAGTATAATATCATTATTCAAAGTTTCTTCTGTATTATTATTATTATCTTTAGTTAAATCAATTTCGATTCCATTTATATCATTAATTGTATACTGGTTTGGTAAGTTATTTGAATTTGGTATTTTTTCAGGATGTTCACTTTTCTTCTTACGAAAAATATTTAAATTTTTTAATTTATTTTCATCATTATTTAATTGTGGAAAATTTAGCATCACCAATGTTTCTTCAACAGTAGAATCCGAATCGTTTTCCGAATAATTATTCATTTCAAAAAAAATAAAATATATTTATATATTAACATATTTCAATGTATTTTACTAATATTAAAAAAAGAAAAAATTTTATCTTTTTATTTTTTTTTTATTCTTAAATATGCACTTTATTTATATGTTGCATTTAAATAAACTAATGAAAAGTTAAAATTTTATTTTTTAATTATAAAATTTTATGAGAATTCTATTTTTTATTTAGCTATATATTATTTTTTTTCTTTGTTTATTTTTTATGCATTATGTTCTTAATTGAAAAAAAATAATTTAAATACACCATTTACGATTATTTATATCAATATTGAACCTCTGATTATTTCAAATATTGTATAATTAATAATAAAATTGCAAATATTTTTTTATTGAAAACATAGTTTGATATTTAAAAAATATAACATATAAATAATTTATATATAAATTTATGACATTTTTGCTCTAATACTTTAAAAAAAAAAAAAAAAAATAATATGATTTAAATATTTTTTGTAAATTATAATATCAGTTTAAACTTAAAATTTTAACTATTATATAAATGAATACTCTATAAATTCATAGATTATTAAAATTAAAAAAAAAAATAAAAGAATTAAAATAAATTAATAAAATGGAGTAATTTCCTCATTTAAATTAAGCACATTAAATAAATGTGCCTAAAATACTTTAAAAAAAATTTGAAATGGTACATTAAAATGTTATGCATACAACATTCTCTTTTTTTTAAATAAATTGCAAAAAAATTTTTTTTTTTCTTTTTATTTAATATTTACTTTATTTATGCCAAAAGAAGATTTTTGATGTATATCCAAAAGAATAAAAAAAAAAAAAAAAAAATGATATTAATTAAAATAATAAACGTTTTATTTATTTACAATTTTAACATATCAAGTGGAATTTGAATATTTTATTAAAAAAGAACATATGTAAATAATTTTTATATTAACATTCTATTATTCATTTGACGATTTTTCAATCATATTTGCTTAAATATTAAAAATAATTAAATTTTAAGGAAATATAAAATAGAATTATTCTGATGATTAAAAAATTATGAGGTAAATCCTTATAAACTTTGGTGAGATAGAATTATTTCTAATTTATATATTTTTTCTAATTATTTAGCCGTTTCTATATATAAATAGAAAGAATAATTTAGTAATTAATCAATTTTTTATTAACACAAAACTTCAAATAAAGTTATATGGTTTTAGATTCATTTTGTATTAATGTTTTTTTTATAAAATATGTTCGAATAAATAGGAAAAAAATAATATATTATAATATATATATGCACTATTGAAAGTAATTAAAAAAAAATAATTTTTTTGAGAACAGCTATTTTTTACTTATATATACAATAATGTTTAATTTAAATGTAAAATATATTGTCATTTTATGAATCAAGTTTTCTGTTGTAATAAAATAGAAAAATAAGTATTATGATCCTTAATAAAAAAAAAGAAAAAAAAGTTCATATAAAATTTTTATAAAATTGAAAAATTCATTATGTTACAAAGAATTATAAATTTAAACCTTATTAAAATGTATATATGCATAATTAAAGAAATATAAATATTTTTAAAAAAGATTCAATGGTTACAAGTATTAATATAAATATAATAAATAATTCCTTTTTTCTTGTTTTTCTTTCATATTTTTACTTTTTTCTACATTCATGATATATTATTTTTTCAAAGTTTATTTAAGCCATTTTTTGTTTTTTTGCTTTATAAACTCTTTGTATTTACTATTCTTACATGCAAAATTTTACAAAAAAGCACTAAAAAAAATAAAATAAAAATTATACATTATTACGCACGTTAATATATCATTTATTTATTTTTTTTTTTTTATTTTTACAAAACAGAAAAATATGAGAGTTGTTAAAAAAAAAAAAAAAATGTATTGTTCTTGTGTGCAGATTGATCTAAATATTAACAACAATCTATAATAAATCCAAAAAAAAAAAAAAAAAAAAAAAAAAAAAATTATATTCGTGTAACAGGATTTAATCAAATAAATAATAAAAACAAAATATGAACATTAATTTTCATTTTTCATTTCTATGAATTAATGTATAATAATATAATTTTGTTATCTTTATAAAATAAATACTATTTTTTTTATAAGGATTTTTTTTTTTTTTTTAAATTAAAAATAATTAAAACTCTTGTAAATTTTTTTTAACATATATATTATTATTATATGACTTTTTTAACTATTTTAAAATTAATTGTGGTTTTACTTTTTTTAAAGAAGCTAAAAGTAATTATGTGTAATTTTATTTAATACATAAAAAATATAAAAAAGAGAAAAATATACATGGCTTTTAACTTCTTAGAATTTTTTAATTATGTATATTTTTTTCATTAAATATTAAAAAAGAAGAATTTAATATATATATATATATATATATAATATATATATATATATATGCAAGTAAATTTGGTAGATGCATATGCTTCTTTTTTTTATAATATTGTTTTAAATCATTTTTTTTTCATTAAATAAATTAAAATTTTTTTCTTTATAAGAGAATTTCTTTTAATTAAATGTTATAAATTACATTCCTTTTTAAAATGTAAATATATACTATAAAATATATAAACATTTTCAAAATTAAATAATTATTATGCCATAGATAGTATGCAGATTTACAAAAAAAAAAAATTTCATTTTTATAAAATAAAAGAATAAAAATTTATAATATTCACAATAATTAAATCTTTTTTTTTTTTTTTTTTATTTAATTAAATGTTTATATGCTTGCTTAACATTATTTGAAATGTCTAAATTGTTCTACAACAAATTTTAGAAAGTGATAATAAAAAAATAATATTGATTTATTTCTCTATAATGTAGAAAAATTAAAATTAAAAATATATGTATTTCATAATGCTAATCAATTTAAATTGATTATTATTTTAATTTTTTATCAAGAATAATTTATATTTTGAATGAAAAACTAGTAGAATATATTTTTTTTTTTTTTTTTTATTGTGATTCATACTTTTAATTAACATGATTTTTTTGTTAATTTATAACCTTACACATTTATGCTATCATAGTATTTTTCTTTTTAATTTTATAAAATTTAAAAATTTTTTTTTTGCTTAGACTTTTTTTTAATTTTTTTTTTTTTTTTTTTATCTATTAACATCAGCATATAATATTAGTAATTTTCTTTCTCCTTTTATCTTATTTTATTGTGTTCCATATATTTGTTTATTCATTTTTCTCTTTTTTATGTGTTATCTAAATTAAAATTATAAAAAAAATTAATTAAAAAAAAAATAGAAATGTTTAATTTTCGTTATAAAAAGTTAAAAAATTATGAATAATTCTAATTTTTTTTGTTCGTAAAAAAGTACGTAAAATAATTTATTCATATCGTTTAGTTTCCGATAATAATTAATTCTAGACAGAATAGAATTGTATTATCATATATAAGTTATGAATATTTTTTAATTTTTATAAATTATTTTATTAAACTTTTTATATTTTTTTTTTCACAATATAAATTAAAATAATGAAATAAAAATATATTTTAATAGTGCATTAAAATGTTAAAATATTTATTTTTAATTTTTATTTTAAATGAGTGTCTATATATATTTGAATGTACTAGTATAATTAATACAATACAATAGTTTTCATTTTTATATATACATATTTCTTATAGAAATATTTAAGAAACTTTAAAACCTCTTCAAAGAATTCAATTAAATTATTAGAAAGAATAAGAATTTATTTTGATTTAAGAAAAGAACAGTAAATCTACAAAAAAAGCAAAAAAATGAAAGAGAGAAAAGTCGACGATGAAATATTAACCAGAAAGGAATTGAGACAAAATAAAAAAGAAAAGGTAGTAAATATGAAAAATGTAGGAATGAAAAGCAATACAAAAAGCACTATGGCTGATAGTGATGAAGATTATTCAATCATAACATTATGTACAAAGTGTTTATCAAAAAAAATAGAAGATAATAAAAATAAAATTATTTTAGATAGTAAAGCTTTTAAAGATAATAAACTTAAAAATCGCTATAGCTTAAGTAATACAGATCCATTATCTCATCATTTAAATTTATCTCCTTATTTTGATAGATCACAAATAATTCAAGAAATAATATTGATGAATAATAATGAATTAACAGATGTGTATGAATTTGACAGATATAAATTAGGAAAAGGATCTTATGGAAATGTAGTAAAAGCAGTAAGTAAAAAAACAGGTCAACAAAGAGCTATTAAAATAATTGAAAAAAAAAAAATTCATAATTTAGAAAGATTAAAAAGAGAAATATTAATAATGAAGCAAATGGATCATCCAAATATAATTAAATTATACGAAGTATATGAAGATCATGAAAAATTATATTTAGTATTGGAATTATGTTATGGTGGTGAATTATTTGATAAAATTGTTAAATATGGAAGTTTTTCAGAATATGAAGCATATAAAATTATGAGACAAGTTTTTTCAGCTATCTATTATTGTCACAGTAAAAATATTATGCATAGAGATTTAAAACCAGAAAATATTTTATACGTAAATGATTCTGATGATTCACCTATCCAAATAATTGATTGGGGTTTTGCAAGTAAATGCATGAATAATCATAACTTAAAATCAGTTGTAGGAACTCCTTATTATATAGCACCAGAAATACTGAGAGGAAAGTATGATAAAAAATGTGATATATGGAGTAGTGGGGTTATTATGTATATTTTATTATGTGGTTATCCTCCATTTAATGGAAAAAATAATGATGATATATTAAAAAAAGTAAAAAAAGGAGAGTTTGTTTTTGATCCTAATTATTGGTCGAGAGTTAGCGATGATGCAAAAGATTTAATACGTGAATGTTTACATTACAATTATAAAGAAAGAATTGATGTTGAAGGAGTATTAAATCATAAATGGTTTAAAAAATTTAAAAGTAATAACATAGTTATAAATAAAAGTTTAAATAGAAAATTAATAGAAAAATTTAAGGAGTTTCACAAGTTGTGTAAAATTAAAAAACTAGCTGTGACTTGCATTGCTTATCAATTAAACGAAAAAGAAATAGGAAAATTAAAAAAAACTTTTGAAGCATTTGATCATAATGGAGATGGAGTATTAACTATCTCTGAAATATTTCATTGTCTAAAAGTGAATGATAGCGAATTAGATAGAGAATTATACTTTTTATTGAAACAACTAGATACTGATGGAAATGGATTAATTGATTATACAGAATTTTTAGCTGCATGCTTAGATCATAGTATATTTCAACAAGATGTAATTTGTAGAAATGCTTTTAATGTATTTGATTTAGATGGAGATGGAATAATTACAAAAGATGAATTATATAAAATTTTGTCTTTTAGTGCTGTTCAAATTTCTTTTAGTAAAGAAATTATTGAAAATTTAATAAAAGAAGTTGATTCTAATAATGATGGATTCATTGATTATGATGAATTCTATAAAATGATGACTGGAGGAAAAACGTGATAAATATATATATATATATATATAAAATTTGTTATTAGGTTTATATATTTTTTATTTTTATAACTAATATGAATTAAAAGAATGTTTTCAATATAATAATTTTTAATATTTTCTTTTTTTTTTTTCATAAATGAGTTTTCATTGAGAATTCTTATTTTCCGTGTTTTTTATTTATTTTCTCAAATTAGATATTTTAATTTTTTTTTCTTTTTTTTTTTTTTTTTTTCTCCGTTATTATATTTATGAAACTTTTACTATTTGGGATTTATAGGAATTTTTTTTATTAATATTTTAATTTTGTGCTTTGATTTTTACATTTTAATTTTTTGTCAATATATATATATTTTGTATTATATAAATTATTTTTTTTTTTTTTTTAATTTTTTTTTCTTTTTCTTTTATTTTACTGTAATTCTAAAAAATTTTTTATTTAAAATTTTTTTTTTTTTTTTTTTTTTCTGGAATGATTTTTTTGTAGATTTGAATTACTTTATTATTTATTTTATTCTTATAATTAATCCATTTGTGTTTTATTAACATGTATTAAAACATATTTAAATTATTATTTCAAGCTAAAGTATTATCATTGATTATATTTTTACATAACAAGAAACCTTTCTATTTTTAAAAATAATTACCACAATATTTTACGAGAAAATATGTGCCTTTATAAATATATATGTAAATACATGTAATTTGTAAAAGAATATTAATAAACCAAATGCTATATGAGAGAAAACATAAAAATAAAAAATAGGAGAACCTGAAAAAAATTCTAATTTTATAAAAAATAATATTTCTTAAAAATGGAAATGTATATATATTTGAATACAAAAATTTTCCTCTTATTACAATAACTAGAAAAAATAATAAATTTTTAATATTATTGGAGTTTATATAATTTCATATTTCATTTATTTCTTCAGATTTTTTTTTTTTCTGTAGAAATTTGTTTGTCAAGAATTATCATGTTTTTTTCTAATCTATCGTATGCATTTTTTTTTATTTCATCCCATTGCAAGTTAGAAATCATACTTCTATTTTGAGGTTTTGTTTTTTTTTTAAGAATATTAAAATCATTTTTAAGATCAGTTAATTTTATTTTTATATAATTATACTTATTATCGCTTAATATCTTTTCTTCATATGGGCACATTTTAACAGGCATGGAATAAATGTCTACATCATTAACAATATTGAAGTTTCCTCTTCCTTCCATACCTTCATTAAAGTAAATTTGCTCACGCATTGGTATTACGTTCATATCATCTATATATGAATATAAAGGATAAACTTCTTTATTATCACCAATAACTGGATTTAAAACTTCTATTTCTCCAAATACCCAACCTAATCTTCTTAATGTAGTACAAGCAAAATAAAAATAATCAGATGGCCATGTATGGTTTATATAATAACTTAATCTTTCTTCCAATATTTTTGATCTATGTGTTATATAGCAAACCCTTGCATTTGCCTCTGATAATTTTGTTTCCTTTATCAGATATTCAATAGAATTCATTATTTCTTTTTGTTGTTCTTCATTATATTTGTAAGACTGTTCATAAAATTTTATTTTAGTTTGGCATAAAACAATTAATTTATGTAAATAATCAAAAATATCTCCAATTTCAACTATTTCTTTTATTGTTTTAATTTTTTCTCTATATCTGTCTTCTAGGTTATAAAATCTTTCATTCAATTTAATTATTTCTTGTTTTAAATTCTTATTATTTAATACTATTTTTTGATATCTTTCATTGGTATTATAATTAATTAAAGTTAATTTTTCGGGGTTATTACAAGCCTCTTCATAAGTTGCCATTATTTCGTTTAATTTTTTTTCTAATGTTTTCTTTTCATTTTTTAAATCATTTATTAATTTTAATTTTTTTTCAGATTCATCAGTTATCATTATTATTGTTTCTTTTAATTTATTATTTTCTGTATAAATTTAAAATTTTAAATGTTTTACAATTATTTAAAAGTTAAATTATAATTATACTTTATATAAATTATAATTATATATATATATATTGTTATATTTTTATTTATGATTTTAATTTTAATACCTTCCATTTTTAAACCTAATTCATTGTGTATAAATTCCATTTCAGTTATTTTTTTTTGAAGAAATTCATCTGCACTTTTGATATTTACCTCAGATGCTATTTGTAAACGTTTATTCTTTGTTCTAATATTCTCTATAGTTGCCTGATTTTATTAAATTTCATACATAGTTATTACCAACATATATATATATATATATATATATATATATATATATAAATGTTTTTTTTTTTTTTTTTTTTTTTTATTAATTCCAAAAAAATATTACTTTTTCTTTTATTTAATTTTTTAAATATACCTTCAAGGAGTTTATTCTCTCTTTCAGATTACTGATTTCTATTTCCTTATTTTTTATTTCTATATCATTTAGTTTTTTAATATTATCTATATTATTTTTTACTTCTTCATTTTCTTCTTTTATTATTTTAATATTATTATTAATACTAGAGAAATTAGAATTGTTCAAAGTATTAAACCATTTTTTTAGAACCCCTTTATCATTTACATAGAATAAATATGTTTGACCATCAGTATGATCAAGTGTTTTTATTTGTATTATATCTTCATTATTCTTTAAATTAAATTCATCATTTTCTTCAATTATCTAAACATAAACTTAGAATTAATAATTTAAAAAAAAAGAAGTCTATATTATTAATATTTTTTCTTTTTTTTTTTGTGAGAAACAATTAAAAAAAAAAAAAAGAAAAATAAATAAGTAAAAATATATAATTAATATTAGAATAATTTATATTAGAATAATTAATATTAGAATAATTAATATTAGAATAATTAATATTAGAATAATTAATATTAGAATAATTTATATTAGAATAATTTATATTCTTTAAGGAATTACTTTATTTTTAAGAGCTACATAATAATTAATAATTTTGATTTGACATCCTTCTAATAAAAAAATAGTATCTGGTCTATAGTCTCCTTTTAACTTATATACATAAAAAAAATTAGCTTTAATGAAGCAAAAATATTTTACCCATTTATTATTTATATTATACCCTTCTTTAGAAATAGTAGAATCATTATGAATGTCATTTATTCTATTATTTTCAAAACATGAATAAGGATATTCTTTAAAATTTTTTTTTTTTTTTAATCTATACATATAAAGATTACCTGAAATTGACTTTTTTGCAGAATTACAATTCCCAAAAAATATTAACGAACTAACATCAAACATTTTTTTTTTTTTTTCTATTATTAATCATTATAATTAAATTCTAATAATAATATATTAATTGTTTGCAAAAGAAGAAATAAAAAAAAAAAAAAAAAAATATATAAATACAAATACAAATATAGTATTTTTTTTTTTAACAACAAAAATTTTGTTTATAATATACAACTTATTTGAAATATATACACAACATAAATATTTTTATATGCAAACTTTAAATCTAAATCATACGTATAGCACCATTAGGCACACTTTCATTTTTTTTTTTTTTTTCTTTTAACAAAAATTTAAAAGAAATATATTTTTAAATTCTTCATAACTTTGTATATATAATAATACATACACTATTATTAATATTTTATTAACCATAAGATAAATTAAAAAAAAGACATTTTTAATATTTATTCATATATATATATATATATATATATATACATAATATTATTTAAAAAAATGTGAAATAACGTAAAAAATTTTCAACATACTTATTTCTACATGCTTTTATTCATGTAAATTATAATTTTATGAAATGAATAAACTATTAGAGATAAAACTTATTTATAAGTGTTTTTTATTTTAAAAATACATTTTTTAAAAGTACATTTTTTAAAAGTACATTTTTATTCATTTAATATAAAAATAAGATAAACTTTTTAAAAAAAAATTTTGAAAAAAAGTTTTATTTGTAAATTATTTAAGTGTAATTACCCTATTATCATGTTAATATATATGTATGATAGCTTTTTTTTTTATTTTTTCATATTTATTCGTGGAAATATTTTTAAAAGAAAAAATTTTGCTAATCTACAAATTTTATTAATAATAAGATTCTTTAATTTTATTCATACTACATTTCTATTTTATAATACTATAAGAAATATTATGAGAAATAAATAAAAAAAGAAAAGAAAATATTGTATACTTATTAATAAAGAAAAAAAAATGAAACATATTAAGAATTTCTATTCAAAATAAAAAATATTTCCATACAAAGTACTTATTATCAGATAACATTTTAAATGTAATTTCTTTTTCAAAAATTATTTTCATAACTATATATTTTAATTATCTTTTATTCAAAAATATAAAATACAATTCAACTTTTATTATTTTTTATTAAATAATTTTAACTTTTAAAAATTTTTGAGAAATATTATTATTATACATATTGGAACTATTAAATTTTTAAGTATATTCTCAAATTATGTGAAAAAAAGTTTTAAATAAAAAATTCTAATAATCACATATATATATAATATATGGTTGTTAGACTTAAATTTATATAAATTTATTTTTTATTTTTTTTTTATATTCTTTTGATCTAATAATCAATTATGACAGTTTGTCCGAGTGGTTAAGGAGGTTGACTCGAAATCAACTGGGTTCTACCCGCACAGGTTCAAATCCTGTAACTGTCGTTTGGAAAAAATTTAAGGATTATTTTATAAATAACTATAATTTAATTATTAATTTAAATTACTATTTTGTTGTATTATCGGAAATACTTTTTATAAATAGAAATAATAAAGAAAAAATAATTACTTTAGCATATTCTTGCATGCATTTTGTTAATAAAATATATATATATTTTCTTTGCTTTTATTTTTAAATAATTTGAAAAAATTAAATAATTTCTACTTACAATATTTTTTTAATTGAGTATATAATAACTTTATTTGTTTAAGCAACCCTTTGATAAGAAGAAATGTTAAATGCTTATTTAATTTTAATTCAATTATTATAAGAAATGTATAGAATACATTTAAATACTATACAAAATAATAAAATATTACCTTAACCTAATTACACATCTACTAATTTTTTTAAAATTACAAATTATCTTTTTATTATAAAAAAAGAAAATTTTGAATTCTTTTATATTCATAATAATTACATTCATTTTTATTATACTTTATTCAAATATATCAATCATATAAATTATAGTGAAATAGTAATTTAATTTTTTTTTTCTTTATAGATATACAAGAAGTAATATTATATCTTGCAGTAAAACTATATGCCTCCATCAAAACAAGACTAGCGTATTATGATTAATATATAAAGCATATTTAAATAAAAAAAATAAAACATAAATAACATATATAAAAAAAAAAGAAAATTAATAAAGATAAGAAATAAAACAGAATAAGTATATTATATATCAATCTACATAAAAAGAAAACCTTTTTAAAAGGTTATGAAAAAGATAAAAATAAAAATATAAAATATCACTTCAAACTTCTACTTTAAAATGCTATTCAAAAAAATAAAAACTTTTATTAATATATAAATATAAGTTTTTTGAGAAACTTAAAGATGTTTCTAAATTAAAAATTATACTAATATTAACTAAAAATGAACATTCAAAGAAAACCATATAATAAATTAAATAAATGAAGATGCTTTTAACACAATATATATAATAAATATAAAACATCATATTCATAAAAAAATTAAAGTCATTAGTTTGTATACATAAAATAATGATGCATTTAGTTATAAATGTTCAATAAAATATCTAAATTATTTTTTAAAGTTTTTAATTTAAAAAATAATTTTTATTATCTAACTGATAAAATATTCTTGTAGATGTTAATACATTATCATTCGTTTAACTACATATTTTATTAGTTTTTATGATAAAAAAAATTTTAAAAGTTTTATATAGACTTTTTTAAAAAATATATTATATATATATATATATATACATATAATAATACAATTACAAATATTTCAGTTTTTTTTTTCATACTTTTAAAATTTTATATATGCCAAATATTATAAAACAGCTAATTCTTAATTTATTATTTAGATATTTTGAAAATAAAAAAGAATAATGAAAATATATATAAAAAATAATTAAAAGGAAAAAAAAAATAAAAATAATACACAGATAAAAATTATAAGTATTAAATAAATTAAAAACAATAATAAATTTTAAAATTAATTTAAAGCAGGTTAAAAATATCAAATTTTTAAAAACAACATATAATGAAATTAAAAAATAACAAAATAACTAAAAAATACAAAAATATAAAATACTAAACATAACTAAAAAAAAAAAAAAAAAATTGCACTTTAATAATTTCATTTATTTTATATTTCTTTTAACTTTATTTAATTCCTTTTTTGTCTTATTTTTAAATTATATTCAATATTTTTTTTTTCGGGTATATATATAATATGAACATCTGACATCTAAATATTTCATGTATAGATATTTATAAATATTTTTTATTAATTTAGTATGGAAGAGTGATTTTTATTTTATTTTTATATAATGTAAATAATATTCTTTTTCTAATTTTTTTTTTGACTTTATTTACTATTAGTTTACCATTATTATTTTTTTAATAAAAGTTAGTATGTTTCGTTTATTTTTTTAAATTTTATTGTTCTATTATATTTTCTTTATTCAATCATTATATTACATTTCAAATTATGTTATCCTCTTGGAAAGTATTGTCTTTTTTTTTTTTATAAAATAAATTAATTTCATTATTTTAACAAATGATTTTAACATTATTTGCTACCTCTGTTCATATATACAACTTTTTTGTTTTCACATTATACAGAATATTCATAAATTATTAAATCTCTATTTATGTTTTTTTTTTTTTTTAAATAAAATTACCAGAATATATGTTATCATACAATTCTTCTTCCTTTTTTGTGTTTTTATGTTTTCTTTTTCTTTTATTTTCATTAAATATATTTTGAGATAAGTAACCATCATTTGAATCTGGAAATGTTTTGCAATTAGTGGTATCAAATTTATGAAATTTAACAAGATTATAACTAGGTGTTTTTTTTGAAATATTATTTTTGTTATCAAAGCAAATTAATTTTGTTGATTCATTTTTTAGATTATTAATAACAAATAATTTTTTGGTTTCTATTATGATATTATTGTTAATAATTACTTGTATAGGTATATTTGATGATTCATGTTTTCTTTGTTTGTTATAATTTTCTAATTCAGTATCTAAAGTTTTAAGAGTGTTAGTTGATAGATTAATACCATATTTATTAAAAATTATTTTACTAATTAAATTATTTTCTTTTGTTATTTCAACATTGCGTTCAATTAATGAGCTACATACTTTAGAATATATATCTGATGTGTAAAGATAAATGCAGAAAAATGCACCAGGAACTGTAAAATCATAAGTAGGATGAGGATTATAAATACCTTCTTCAATAGCTTTCTTATATTTAAGCAAAACCTCATTTAATATTTTATCATTTACAGATATATTTATTTCATTTTCATTAATTATTTTTTGAAAATCATAATTTATTTCTGGTATATTTGTCCATTTATGATTTATGGTTTCACAAAGTTTCGAGAATTTACAAAGATAATAATTTATATTTCTAAAACAGTAACTTATTTGAGATGAGTAATTTCTAATAATTTTATCTGCTTCATAATCAAAATAAGTTGTAATTATAGAATATTTTTGTAATTTATTTACAAAATTACATAAAAGAGAATAAAACTTAAACAAAGTACAAAAAAATGGATGTTTTATATCATAGTAGGAAACGACTGTATTTTTATATATATATATATTTTTATATTTATCTATTATTTCATATATATCTAATAGTTCTATTTCTTCAAGCAATTTACATATATCTATTATAGTTTCCTTTAGATCTAATCTTAATATTTTAGGTATATTTTTTTTTTCGCAATTATTTTTTTTACAAAATTGTTCAATAATGTGTAATCTTGATAATTCATAAATAGGATTTTCATTTAGTCTTTCAAAAGCAGCTACTATTTTTTTACATGTGGAAAAACTATATTGAGGGAAAAGATATTTAATTTTTTTTCCATGATAATAATAACTAGAAAATCGTTCAGATATCTGAACATCTTCTGTATAACTATCTTTTAATTTATGCATAATGGTTTTTGTATATTTTATAAGATGCATTATAGCATTGCATTCTTTGTAACATATATTATCAATATATTTATTATTAAGTATTCTTTTAGAGATTTTAAAATTCGTTACATTTTCTTCTTCAAAACAAATTGCATTATCCTCTAGTTTACTATCACCCTTATGGGATACATAACATTTTTCATGTTTTAATTTATTGAAGCATTCATCTTTAACGTCTTCAAAGCTTTCATAAGTACTTTTTTGAATATAATTTCCATATTCTATATTATTTTTCTCTAAAGATAATTTTTTTTCAAATACATTTATATTATTCCTCGTTATATTTTTATTAGAACCCATCTCTTCATACCATGTATAATGTATATTACAATCTTGTTCGATATTGCATATATTAAAATCGTGTGTTAAATCCATCTGATTTTGAAATATGATAGAATTTTTCTTTATATTGTTATTACCAAAATTACAATCAATTTTATTTGTTTTATTAATATTCTGATCTGAAACATTCGTCAATGTTTTCTTCTCTATTTCAGTTGTAATTCTTTGTATTGTCTCTTCATTATTTAATAAAGAAATATCGTTATTATCAATTACTGATTTAGAATCAACATAAGAAATTGAATTTTCAGAAAGGACACTTAAACTAGAAGATATTTCTATATTATCAATTCCTTTTTTACGTACAGCATAAAGTACTGAATCTTCAGTAGTGTTGCTTGAATTATATGATGAATCATTTATATCTTTCATAATTAAAGTAGGATCATCTGGCTCTATATTTTGATTTTCATTAATATTTTTTAAATTTAATGTGGAATATATTACTTTAAAAAAAGTTTCATTATTAATTTCTTTGTCAGAAATGTTTTGAAAATTTTCAAAATTCTTAAGGAATAAATTTTCAACATACGAAATATCATCAATTATGTTTTTTGTTTTGGTTTCATTTAATCCAATACAATACGTATAATATTTTAAAAGAAAACTTACATCTGATATATGCTTAATAATTCTTTTAGATATTGATACTTCGTTTTTCAATTTTTTAAAAAATAATGCGGATTCAGGAGATATAAAAAAATGTAATTCAGAACAATGTAAAGTATTATCAATTAAATCATTATTCATTCTAATTACTTTTTTTATATAAGTTTTTGCGTCTTGATTACTTGTTAGTAGGTTAAATATATAGCAAATATTATCATCAAGAATCTTAATAAACGTAGCTGTGTATACAGGATTATCCTGCTTAGCTATTTCATTTCTCTCTTTTATATATAGTTTTAGAAGTTTTATAATTTTTCCTAATAATTTATTTACTCTAGTAAAATTATTATCCTTTTTCTTTTTCATAAATATTATTTCACTATCATTTGACATTTTTTTTTTAATGGTAATAAAAAGTGAATTATTCGAATATACAAAAAAATTATTTTGTTAAAAAAATGAAATAATAATATGTATATACAAACAAAAGTTATGACTTAATATAATAAATTTATCTTTTTATTATATAAAGTTTTAAGTGAAATGTAAAATTTTATAAAAAAATTTTAGTATATATAAATAATATTATCATACTATATAAAAGTCGGATTATATTTTAATATATTTTCTATATATATTTAATAAAATTTATAAAGAATTAATATTTTTTTATTTTTAGGTTATACATTATTTTATCGTATAATAGAACCTTTAACCATCTATCACAATTTACATGTAAGTTCTAAAAAAAAGAAATATCATAATATTACAGACATTAATTTTATATATTTAACAAAATAAATTTTTTCTTAGAGATATTATATATTTCGTTAAAAAAAAAAAAAAAAAAAAAAGCAAAGTAAAATAAAATAATTAAATAAAAATTAATTAAATTTATTTACATAATTTTTCGACTACTTCTGCAATCACCAAAATATATTTTAAGAATACATAAGATTCATATATTTTTATTTTTAATAATATACGAACGCATGTAATAGTATACATATAAATAATATAATAAATAAATAATTTTACTTTCTATATATGCATATATATATATATATATATATATATATATATATATATATAAAGATTTTTTTTCTTAGTAATAATAAGTATCAATATATAAAATATTCTATTCATTTATAAAATTGTTCTTGTTTCAATATAGTAAAAATGTTAAATTGTGTTAGAATATCCACTTTTATTTAAAAAAAGAAAAAGATATAATTCATTGGTTATTTCTTTAAATACATTTAATTTTAATATTACAATGAATTTATGAAATTTTGATTTTTTTTTTTTTTTTTAAATTCATGTTATCTAAATTGATATAAGCACAAAACTGTAAAGAAATTAAAAAAAAAAACATTTGAATACATATTTTGTGTATATTCATGAAATTTTATAATAATTAAATAATTTTATTTGATATTTATTTTTAATATATATTTAATTAAATAAAATTACATTTTAAAGATATTATTCTTAAAAAATATTATATGAAAATATGGAAAATTCTAATTACAATTCTATTTTATATTTATTTTTTTTTTTTTTTTTTTATAATTCTTCAAAAGTATTGGAATCTTATATGTTTTCAGAAAAAAACAATGCATACTAAGAGTTATTGTTTGTTAATTTTTTTACAAAAAAAAAAAAAAATTATAATGCAATGAAGAATACACAATTATATATATACATATATATATATCTATGTATTTTTTATCATTGTTTACCATTTTTAGAAAAAAAAAATATTTAACTTCTTTATACATTATTATATTTATAAGAAATATACAAACGTACTAAATTATATATAAACTATTAATTAATAATTTAATATATTTTTTTTTATATTTATTTTGCTTATCACTTTAAAAAAATCCCTAAATATATTTTTATTTTTGCTTACAACCAGATTTAATTATTAAAAAAATTTTGGTTTAATTATATATCTCTTTATCTATAACTAATCACAAGTGTAAACATCAATGAATAATTTATGAATTAATTTTTTCCCAATATTTTAAGTATATTTAAATTTTTTTTTTCTTATTATATAAATTGTGTTAGGTCGTTTCACTTATATTTTATACTTTTCACTTTTTTAGAATATCATTATATACTTACTTATATTAATAAATAAATAATTATTTAATTAAACTTTATATTAAATATTTTTAAATTTTATTTAATTTTCTTTTATAATTATGTTATATTCACATTTCCTTTTAATAAAATATGTTAAAAAAATAAAACATACTTTTAATGTGAACTATTTATATTCTATATAATTTCATTAAATTTTATTATATATCCTTAAATATTATGAGATATAATTATTTTTGCTATTTTATTTATTATGTATTTATTTGTTCTTCAATTCATCATTTAAAAAAAGCTTGTATTTTTCTTATGTATTTTTTTTTATAAGGATCTTGTTTTAATGCTTAAATTTTTTACGTCCTCTTTAAATAATATTTAACATAATTCATCTTTTTTTCATAAAAAAAAAACTTATTAATTTTAAATATATAAATATATTTAAAGGAAAAGTACATTCCTTGTATAATTGAAAAAAAAAATAATTTTTTTTATATAGGTATTTTTTAATGAATTAGAAAAAATCATAAGATAGTTCAAGAATAATTGATTTATGATTAACTACAAAAAATATAAGATATATTTTTATTAAATAATTTAATTTTTATATTAGTTTATAGAGATTTTTTTTGATTTTCATAAGTTTTACTTTAATTGACTACATGATTATGTTAAATAAGTATATCTAATGGACGTATATTATATAGATCTCTGCTTATTATCAAAAAGAATAAATAAGAATTTAAAATTTTGTGTTAATAAATAATTCACATATTCTTCCATATTCTATTAATTTATCTTTTTAGTCTAATGAAATATATATTTTTAATTTTACTTCTTCAATAATATATTCTAATACTATAAGCACATTTATAATGTAACTATTTAACAACTATAATAATTTTCATGTATATATATATATATATATATTTTAGTATTTAATGTACTTTTTATTTAAAGTAATCATTTTTTTTTATTTTTAAAATTTACATCTATTTATGTTAAAAATATGTAAAATTATTTATACTTATCTTGATTCTTTGGGATTTCCAAAATTAAATATGATACTTGTTAATTGTATCCTATACAAAATAATATTTCATTTTATGAAAAATATTTAACTTAATATAATAATATTTGAATTAGAAAGAAATAAAATTATAAATTTAAATAAACATATTTTTTTTTATAGGAGTCTTTTTTAATATTTATTAAAGATTAAAAAATTATATTAAATTATTTAATTTTGTATTATATAAAATATTTTCAAAGGATAACATTAATAATTTTAAAAGTATTAATTCTTAATTTAAAATAGTAAAATATATATATATATATTGACGAGATATTAAATACAAAGAATTATGGCTAATATTACTAAAGTATTTTTGTATAAAATTTTAGTGATAATAAAATTTTTATGTAATTCTGATATATATATATATAGGATGTATTAAAATTTTTTATAATCAATATTTTTGATTAAGTACCAATATATTTTTAAAATGAAATATATTTTTTTTATTTTCAAAATTACTCTAATTATTTTTTAATTTTAAGGTTAAAAATGGATAAAGTACATTTTATTTTATTTTATTAAGATAAAATTAAATATAAAATAAATTTAATTTGTATTTTAAATAATAAGAATAATCTAAATATCTATGGTATTTTATTAATTTTTAAGTGATACTCATTGAAAAAAAAGTAAAGAAGACTAAATTACAAATTATTTAAAAAAAATATAACCCAATATAATACAAAGCAATTTAAACTCAACACATTATATATATATATATATATCTAATATATTTCAATTGTTTATATTTTCTTTTTTAAAAGAATTCTTTTATCTTTTTGTGTATTGCTAAATTAAATAAATTTTTTCATTACAAAATTGACTTATATATTGAAAAAAATGAATTATATAAAAATTACGAAAAAAAATATTTTCAACTTTATAAATAAAAAAAATAAACAAGCAATAAAAAGTGTATGCAAAAAAGAATGAAACTAAATACTTTTATAACAAAAAAAATACATAAAATGAACATTCAATAATAATATATTTTTCTAACATAAAAACTATATCAATTAAATTTATCATAATATATAAAAATCCTTTTTACTTATTTATAATTTTGAAAAACATATTATCGTTTTTCTATATTTTTTTTATAGCCATATTAATACTTTATACATAACAACAATTAAAACACTAATTAAAAAGGATAATTATTACGTTATAATTTTTTTCATTAGTATCTCATAATTAACGAAAATTGTTTTATATAAAGCTTTGAATTCTAATTGTATTTTTTTGCATAATAATTTTTAATTAAAATTATTTCTACATTTTTATTTTGATTACATATATTCATAATGAACTATGCATTAGTAAAAATATGTTTAAATATTTTGGTATAACAGAAATAGAATGTCATATGCTGAATACTACTACAAGCATATATTATTTCATTTTCAAATTTGTTATTTTATCTATTTTTGAAGTTAAAAATAAAATGTTTAATTCCTATTATTTAATATATATATTGTTAAACATAATATGAAATAGTTTTATTTAAATAAAATAAACTTAGATATTATTTGTAATAATATATTAAAAGATGAAAAATTGATATTAAAAAATAATAATCTAAAATTATTTCATTTAATTTATTACTCAATATATTTTTATGGAAATACTTTATAGATAAATGAAATGAATATATTTTTTCTTTTTTCTTACAAATAAATTAGACATAAATTTAAAATAAGGTAAAAAGTTACATAAAAAGATTCTAGAAAAAATATTTTAAATATAATCTTTCTAATGTTTATTAGATTACTCACCTATACTAATATAGTATATAAAATATAATTTTTTTAATTAAGTAGTAAAACACTGAAGAACTCTTTTTTAGTTAATAATAATCCAACTACCTCTCAAAAATTTTTTTCTTATTCATTACTAATATATATACTTATTTTAACCTTTAGTAAAAATTTTTCCCTTTTAATTTATTATAATTATTTTAATAAATATGAAAAAAATATCTAAATATATTGTATCACATAAATGAATCATAGTTAATGTTTTTTTGTTATATTTCATTATAAATGTGTATAATAAAATATATGTTAATATCATAAACATAATTTCTTATGAAAAAACACTTTTATTTTTGTACAAATTTAAAAAAAAAAAAAAATAGTACTTAATATTTGAAGAAAAATAAATAAAAAAAAATTTAGAGATTCTAGTATAGAATTTTCCATTTCAATATTGCAATAGATCTGATTATTTATTTATTTATTTATTTATTTTTTTTTTTCCTTTTTTCAGAATGCTAAAATTATAAACTCATACTTTCAGTTTAGTAAAAAATAAAGATTATATAGAATTTTGCTCATATATGTTATGTTTTAAGATATCTATGAATCTTTCACAATTACACACTTGCTAACTTATATATTTATTTGTTATTTTATTAATATAACTAGCTTTTGAATACAAGTTTTAATTAAATATATGTACATACGAGAGAAAAAAAATATTAATATATGCACAAAATTTTGTAAATTTTATTATTCTCTATAGAAGTATAAGTTATACGTACTTATATATATGTTTATGGATTTTTACAAAATTAGATACTACTTATAAACCAAAAGTCTTTATATAATAATATTATTTTAATTAAATATTCATCCATAAGTATGCATATATATATATATATATTAATTTTTCTTTTTACAACATAAATATATATGAAAACATAAATGTAAATGAGTATTTTTTTTTTTTCACAAAGTGTAAACTTGCCCTACGAGTCACATAAAAAGTACATGAAAATAAAAAATGCGCACATACATCTTTTAGTTATATACATTTCAATATTATAAATCTAATTAGTATATCCATGTATTTTATTTTATTTTTTTTTTTTTTTTTCAATAAATCAATTTAATTCATAACTAATTGACTATATAATGTTTATTAATGTATTAAAAAAACGTATTCCATTAAGCATTTTACGTAGACATATATAAAAATAAAAAATGAATTAATATGTAATCATTTAAATAATTTTACAATAAAAATTTTAATATATTTATTATACATTAATTACAATATAATAATATGAATAAAAAATAAATAATTATATTATTTATTAACATGTCATCTAAGCAATTAAATAAGAATTACGGAATTTTTTTTTAAGGAAATAAAAAAAAAAATTTGTTTACATTAAATTCTGAAGAAGTCATTAAAAAAAAAAAAATATTAAATTAAGAAATACACAAATGAGGATTTTTTAAAATTTTTTATGCTATTATTATCTTTTTTTTTTAGCTAAAAAAATTAATTATTGAATATATGCATACTAATTATTTTTGCTCATAAAAATATGCATGCTTTAATTTGCATACACTAAAAATGACATTAATTATACATAAATATTTTTATTTATTCTTTTATAATTAAATTCTTTCAATATAATAAATTAATTTGTTATATCTCTCATACAAATATATTTATATCAATATCTATGTATATCTATATACATTGAGTTGTATTATTTTTTATTTTTATTTATTTTATTTATACACATATATATATATATATATTTTTTTTTTATATATTTTATTTTCTATGTATATATTTTTTTAATTTATAAATAATAATGAAGATACATACTTTTTTATTAATTTTAAAATAAAACTATTTTATTTAATGTAGTTATAATAAATATATGATTTTTTAATGCGTTCCTTTTTTTTCTAGTACTGTTTAGTTATTTTATTTTTTTTTTCGTAAGAAATATATGCATTGATATATCTATAAATTAATTTTATTTCATATTTTAAAAAGATTTTGTTTTATAATTTTTTTTTTTCATCCATAAGTTATGAAAAGAACTATTTTTTTTTAAATAGACATTCATTTTAAGAAGAAAAAAGAAGCATATATATATTATATTTATGTTAAAACCTCATATTACATTATGATAAATGAGTAACAGAAAAAAAAAAATGTTTGCGTTGTAATTCAATTTTTACATACCTAATTATTTGTGTCAAACTATAGTTTTATTTTTAAATTCCTCACATTTCAATTTTTATTTTTATTATTTTATTTTATTTTTTTTTTTTTTTTTGAATTTTTAAATTTTCTTTTTTTTAATTATATAAAGAATTTTATTGTTCACATTTTAAGATTTTTACAATAATATCAACTTCTTTTTTATTTTAACCTATATAATTTTATACAAGGAAAATAAAATTAAAAAAAACAAAAAGAGAAAATACTAAAGAGTAATATAAATAGTTTATTTAGTTTTTATATATAAGTATGTTACCATTTTAATTAAAATGTATATAAGTTCATATACATATTGATCTTCATTTTTTTTTTTTTCTTTTAATCCTTTTTTCCTTTTTTTTTAATATATAAAATATAATATATTTTAACTTCTGTTGGAGATCAAAGAAGATTTTTTGTAGACACTTTAATATAACTAAGACATCAATTTATTCTTTATATTATAATTATTTTTAGTATTCTTATAATTATTATTACATTATTTATTATCTTTATTATTATAATTATTTTTTGTATTTTTATAATTACTATTATATTACATTATTATTCTGCTTTTATTATCATTTTTATTACAATTATTTTTATTATTATTATATATAAACTAAATATTATTTATATATAATAAAAATAAAAAAAAAAAAATTTAAAACAAAGCAAATAAAAAAAAAAAAAGAAAATTAAAAATATATTCATAATATAATTTGAAAACATATAGGTAAGGATTCATTAAATAGGCTTACCAATATATTTTTAAGATGAAGTGTATAAAATATTACAATTTTTTATTTTAAAATTCAAGAAGTTTGGGTTAAGTTAAATTCAGTAATTTGACGATAAAGTATATTATATATTAACAAATGTAATTCAAATGAAACCTGTACAAAATTATCCTATTCACATTGTTAATATGGTTGTTAAAATTTATTCATATAATTAAGACACACAAAATTATAATTTTTTATTTTATTTTTTTAAATAAAATAATTTTTGAAAAAGCAAAAAAAAAATTTACTAAAGGAAAAAAATATTTTAAATAAAAAATTAATTAAAATTATTGTATTTATTTTATTTCATTTTATATATCTCTTAATTTTATTTTATATTTATTTTTTTTTTCTACATTAATTTTTTTTATCATATATATATATCTTTTTTTTATTTCACTTTTCTATTTATTTGCATATTTATATATTTTTTTAAAAATCCATATTTAAATGAAAATTATGAAATATTATTTGTAGTTTATTAAAAAAAAAAAAGAAAAAAAATGTAAAAGGAAAAATAATGTGAGTAATCTAAAACTACATAAAAATGAAACAAAATATAAATTTTAATAATAATATGAATTTAAGTATTGGTAAAATAGATTTAAACAATATTTATGTGGATATTTTAAATATTCAAGAAACACTAGTAAATCACATTCAAACTATTGTTACTCATGTTTATAATTTAATAGAAAAAGCAATATATACAAATATAGAAAAAAGAGAATTATTAATAGATACATATGACGTTAATTTTGTGTATGGCACAAATAAGGTAAATAACAATAATATTACGAACAATCTAACATATTTTAAGAACACAGATGAAGAGGTAGAAAATAATAAAAGAAATGTATGTGTAAATGATTTATTTATAAAAAAGAAATTTGTTAAATATAATAAAAGTAACGAAAATTATAATTTGAAAAATGAAAAGGAATTAAATAGTAAAAATGATCTTGAATTCTCAAGAGAAAATTCACGACAAAATATAAATATTCATCATAAAATACATAATTACGAAGAAAAAAATATAACGAATAACCATAAAAACCATGATGATAGTAATATAGAAAAAATTATTTTAAATGATAATATCCATTATAAAAAAATAATTACTTCAGATGAAGATAATAATAACACTATTAAAAATATGTTAAATGTAATGGATGATAATGTAAAAAAAATTAACCTAAATAAAGATAATAGTGATATAAATAAAAAAAATATTCCTAGTGAAATGAATAGTAGCACAAAAGAAAATAATTTAAATGAAAATAATGATTATAAAAAAAAATACACTTTAAATGTAGACACTCATTTGAAGAATAAAAATATTGATAATATAATAAATGAAAATAAGTTAAAACTAAAAAAGCATATTACTTTATTAGAATTAATAAAATATGTTATTATGTATTCTAATAAATCAAATAATGAAAATATAGAAATAAAAAGTGATATTAATAAAAAAGAACATGTAAACTCAACAATTTTGGCAGAAAGTTATAATGATAAATTAAAAGGTAATATAGAAATTTTTAAATTTGATTTAAATAGTGATATATCAAATTATAATTTTTGTCACATTAACTTATCAAATATAAAAATTAAATATATAAATATAATTAGTTATTATATGGAATTATTGTCACCTTTTAATAAATTTTATGATGAAAAAAATAATGATAATAAAGAAGACGAGAAAAATTTGAAAATAATAAGAAGTAAATTAGACGAAATAATATTAAATTATGATTATATTGTTGACGAAATTCTAAAAAAGAATAATTTTAGTGAATTATCAGAAGAATATTTAAATAATTTAAAAAAAAAAATTATTCAAGGAAACTTTCCAGAAAATAATAAAAATAATAGTGATATTGAAAATAGATATTTAAATAATATATACATTCCCAGTATTAACAAAACTATAGAAGACAAAAAACCTAGAAAAATTAAAAATATTCCAAATAATTTTTTAAATAATGATAATAATAATAATAGCATTATAAGTAAGCATATTTTTTATAACACTTTCCCATATTTTTGTAAAAATATGAATGAAAAAATAAACAACAACTTTTTATATAAAATAAATATATTTAATAATCGCGATATAAATGGCATAAATTTTGATTATTTTAATAAAGGAAAAATAAAAACAGTGAATTCACTAAATAAAAAAAACTACTTTAATAAAACTGTAGAAAATACATTTATGCGAAAAGACCATGAGCATTCAAATTTCATTCAAAACCAAAATAATTTACTGGAATTACATAAAAATAATTTGAATTGTAAAAAATTGTATAACATAAATAAAATGAATTCATTTATTTTGAATTTGAGAGATATGAATAACTTCAGTGCAACTAAAGATAATTCGTGTAAAAATAAAAATAATGGGGATGAAAAATTAAAAGAAGATCAAGAGAAAATAAATTATGTTATTTGTGGTTACGATAATACGAAAGATATGAAAATCCTTAAATCTCAACAATTAGGTGATCTAAATTATAAGAATGATTTTATTCCAATTCACATAATTAATGATATGAATAAGGAATATATATGCAAATTAAATAATAATAATACAAGTAAAAGAACATTCAATGAAAATGAAAAGATATTACATTATGATTATGAATATCTAAAAAAATTTCAAACAGAAAACAAAATTGTAGATGATCATAAGGTTTCCTATTTGGAACGAAATAATATACATATGATTGGAGATTACAAAAATAGTAGGAAAATTAATAATGAAGTAACAAAAAACAGTGAAGTTAATAAACATAATTTATTTTCAGTTAAGGAATTAAAATATTCCAGAAAAAATAATAATAATTGTGATTTTTTGTTTTGTAAAGAATCTAATATAAAAAATGATAAAAATAAATTAAAATATAATGAAGAAAAAAAAGAAAATATAAGCTTACGTGAAAATATAATAAATAATATAGATGAGAAAATAAATATTAACAACAAAGAGTGTTGCATAAATCAAAATCTTACAAATGGTAAAGAAGATAAAATTTATGAGTATATGTATCATATAAAGGATGAAAGTCATAAAATTGATGATAATATTGACAGAAAAAAAGAAATTAATTCGAATAGTGTTTCTACTGAGGAAATCAATAACTCAAACAGGAATAATTTTAAAGGTCATTTAAGTTTAAAAAAAAAATATAATTTTGAAGATGTTGAAAATTATAAAAATTTATATGTATGTAGTAATAATATAAATCATCTAAGTAGTTATAACAATGATATAATTCAAGTTTATAATATGAATATATCAAATGACATTTCAAATAAAAAAAATAATAATGAAATAAAAAATGATAATAAAATACATAATACAAATATTAAAAACATGGGCATTGCTTTATTAAATCAAATAGAGAATAACTCATTATTGAAATCAAAAGGTGACTATAAAAATAATAGAAACTTTGGTTATATGCAACTCTCCCATAATAGGAATTATGATTGTACAAGTAACAGTAATAATTATAGCTACATGTCCGATAGCAATAGCAATAATAATACCATTAATGATTATGATGATAATAGCAACAATAATATAAGTAATAATAACAATAATAATAATGATAATAATAATAATAATAATAATAATAATAATAATAATAATAATAATAATAATAATAATAATAATAATAATAGTAATAATAATAATAATAATAATAACAGTAATAATGACAATAATAATAATAATAGTAATAATAACAATAACAATAATAATAATAATAATGATAATAATAATAATAATAATAGCAGTAATAATAATAATAATAATAATAATAGAAGTAATAATAATAATAATAGCAGTAATAATAATGATAATAATAATAATAATAATAATAATAATAATAATAATAATAATAGTAATAATAACAATAATAATAGTAATAATAACAATAATAATAATAATCATAATAATAATAATAATGATAATAATAATAATAATGATAATAATAATAATAATGATAATAATAATAATAATAGCAGTAATAATAATAATAATAGCAGTAATAATAATAATAATAGCAATAATAATAATGATAATAATAATAATAATAATAATAATAGCAATAATAATAATGATAATAATAATAATAATAATGATAATAATAATAATAATGATAATAATAATAATAATAATAATAATGATAATAATAATAATAATGATAATAATAATAATAATGATAATAATAATAATGATGATAATAATAATGATGATAATAATAATGATGATAATAATAATGATGATAATAATAACAATAAAGATAGTAATAATGATAATAGAAGCAATAGTAACAGTAACAGTAACAATAGAAATGACAATAATGAAGATGATAACAGTAACAGTAGTAATATTAACGCTAATAATCATGATGAAAAAATGGATAACGATAAGAAAAGTGATGATGTTGAGATTAATAGTAGTAGTTTTAAAAATAACATTGTTAACCCCATGAGTAACAAATCCAATTCAGAAAAAAATAATTTGTATGAGTCTTATAGAAATTTAATAGAAAATCATAATGAAAATAAAATGACAATAAATGAAGAGAAAGTAAAAACTATTTTAGAAGATACCGATTTAATAGAAAAAAATAAAAATACTATTAAAGGATACACAAATGTAAATGAATATAATGACTTCAATGAAAATTCAATAAATAATAATATAAGTAATTTATATAGTTTTTATAGTAATTTAAATAAGAAATCAACTAATACAAACACAGATATATTGAATAACGGAAAGTGTGGGAAAATAATACCAAATAATTCATTGGAAGAATTTGACAGTATAAATAAAGACATGAATGATTTAAACATAAATAATAATTTAAAAAATTATAATAATGATATAATGAATAATGAAATGTACTCATCGTATTTTGATATTTATAATAATTTTAACGAAAAAAATGGGATAAATAATAATTTGATTGATTTTGATAAAAATAATATAGAATATGACTTGATGAACTTTGCTAATAATACGTATGTGGATATTCATAAAATTCTTCAAAATAATGATATATTAAAAAGTGAATATACAAATATAGAAGAATCATTTAAACTATTTCCTAATTTTATACATAATAAAAAAGTAAAATTAAAAAATCCTAATGAAGATATTCCTCAAATGTATAATAATTATAAAAATGTGTTAAATTCAGAAAGAGTTCTAAGGAATGAAGAAGATATAAATCAATTAAATGAAAATTTTTGTCATAATAACAATGTTCATAATAATATGGCACCTAATGCTTTAAATAATAATATGATTAATAATGGTTTTGATAATAATATAGATAAAATTATAGATATAATGAATACAAATAATGGTATTAATGAAAATAATATGAATAATTTTTCAATAAATGAAGAAAGTTATAACAATGAAAAAAATGAAATAAATTTTCCTTATAATATTAATAATTTTGAAACAAATGCATATAAAAAGTCAAAAGATAAAAAAAGAAAAATTAGTTGCATTAATGACAGCAACGATATGTTTCCTGAAGGACCAAAAATAGGAAATATTTTAGAACATTCTAATACAAAAAAATATTATAAAAATAGTGAAGATAAAAAAAAAAAGTATCAAAAAATAGATATAAGAACACTAAATAAAAATGTTCAAAAAAATAAAGAAATATGTACTAATTGTTATATTCATTATGATAATTTTAAGTCAAGTTATATTTTAACATTTATAAATAGGAAACAAAAAAAACAAAGAAAAATATTTCCGGTAGAACCAAATGAAAAAGATGAAGCTTATATAATTCAAATTATGAAATATATAGAAAAATTAAAAGAGCAAGATAAAATATATGGAGTTACAAAAAATGAAGAAATTGAAGAATTAAAAATGAATAAAATAAATTTAAATAAAAATGATGATTTTTTTGATTTTAATAATATAGATAGTATTAATAACAAGATAAATTATACGAATAAAGATTATTTTTTAAATAATAAATCAATGGTTAATGAATGCATTGATAATAATTTGACAAAAAATAATGAAATGAGTACAAATCATGGTAATGTACTAAATAATAAAATAAATAATTTTATGAATCCTTTTAATGATCATTTGTATCTTTCTTCTAACAATATAAATTATATACATGAAAACATACCATCTATGAATAATATAAATAATTCAGATTGTTTAAAAAATATTAATCCTAATATTTCAAAGAATATGCATATTTATGATGATATAAATATACCTTCTAATATTGAGTTCATGAATTTTAATTTGCTAAATGATGCAAACAAATTTGAAGGTTTCAATTTAATTAACGCATTCACAAATAACACTCAAAACTTAAACATGTTCTATACAAATGAAAAAAAAAATAATTTAACTAAATCAGTTAATGTCAATTATTTAGATGAAGTTAATATAATAGACAATATTAATAATAATAATTATAATTCCTTTCCGTATAATTTATGTGAAAGTAGTTTAATTCATAACATGAAAAACATTATTTATCCTTATGAAAACGACATTAGTACAATGAAGCCACTAAAGAATAACAATATTAATGAAAATGATGAAATAAATTCAATTAATATGCTAAGTAATATTAATATTTCTAATTTTCATAATATGTCTACTAACAATGAAAGTGAAATAATGCAAAAGTATAATTCTATCATGAATGAATATGATAGGAATGTTTTAAACAATTCAAATTATAGTGAAAACAGTATAGAAAAAAATATTTCAGAAGATAATAATATGGAACATAATGAATAAAGAAAAAAAAATAAAATAAAATAAAATAAAATAGACATAAAAAAAAAATCTATAAAGGGAATCAAATAAAGAGAATGGACAAAGGATTCATATAAAATAATCTAAAATAAAGAAATATAATAAAATAGAAAATATAAATAAATATTAGACAACAAAATAAAGATGTTATAATAAAAACTAGATAGCTTGCTTTTTTACGGCACCCTTTTAAAAATTAAAAAAAAAAAAAAAAAAAAAAAAAAATTAAATTTTTAATATATTTAATAATTATTATATCTTTGTTTTAGTGAAATGTATTTCATCTTTATGATAAAAAAAAAAAACACACAAAATTATAATTTGAAAAAAAAAAAATTTTTAAATAGTAATATTATCTTCACTCATATATTAAACCAAAAAGAGTTTACGTATTTGATGATTTTAATGTTGCTATAATTGTATAATGAAAAAATATAAAAAAAAAAAAAAATTTTTATTTCAAAAATTAATTAAGCTTTATGAAATAAAAATAAGATTAAATAAATATGAATTAATAAAAATTCTCAAAAAAAAAAAATTTATAAAAGGATATTTTAAAATTATATATCCTACTTATAATAAAAATTTTTGAGGCAAAAAATTAAAATATGGAGGTAAAAAAAAAAAAAAAAAAAAATATTAAGTATTTTTATAACACCAAATATAATTGTTAAAAATACTGCAATATATTTTATTCTCAGAAGTTTTTAGAATATTAGTAAAAAGAATTTTTTATAAAATTTATAAAAAGAAAAATTTTCGGTTATATAAAGATAAAAAAAAATATATATTCCCATTGGTAATTAGCTTTATATTCCCCTAATTCGCTTGTATCTTTTAATTTTAATATTTTAAAATAATTTTATTTATATATTTATATAATTTTTATTTTAATTAGTTTGTCTAGAAGTTGTAAACATAAGATGATATCATGGATTAATTAAATGATTCTACAAATAATTCATAAAATATACAAAGAATTTATTAAATAAAAAAAAAAAAAAAAAAAAAAAAAAAA